TACAGAAACTTCCTTTCTGGTCACATCATCTCTCTGATGTCGATTTTTAAATGATGTCTCGGACATTAAGTTCTACTGTCCCAAACCACTCGTAACCTAAGAGGCTCTCTGAATTTTCTGACAGCAAATTTTCCTGCCTACTTCTTTGTGAAATAAAAAAAAGGGGGGGAGGGGGGAATGGCACCATCTCTGACCCTGCTTCCTGTTGCAATGATGGGAGGCAAGTGTTTGGAGGCAGGAACATGAAGAGCACCCTCAAGGTTCAGACTGTGATCTGGTGAATTCATGTGGCATCACTGCATCCAGCCCCAGAGAGCTCATTCATCTCTTTCTGGGCCCAGGAATCCTTAGTGAAGGAAGGATTGGAGTTTTAAATCAGGAGACCAGGACTGTAGCACACATACCTCAACTAACTAGTTGCCTCATCTGCAATGAGTTACTTGGTCTTCCCAGGCTCGTGTCCCTCACCTGTCAGGTCAGATGAAGGATCTGGAATAGGTGGTCTCTAAAAGCCCTTCCAGCTCCCCGCTTCTGCTGTGGGTCCATCTGCACCTGCAGGCACTGATGTGGGGGCAGGCAGGGGACTTAACCCAAACCCACTGCCGTCGACTCGATTCTGATTCATAGCAACTGGACCGATAGGGTTTCCAAGGCTGTAAATCTTTACAGGAGACTGCTATGCTTTTCTCCCGAAGAGCGGCCGGTGGGTGTGAAGCACTGACCTTGCAGTTAGCAGCCGAGGACTTTAACCACTGAGCCACCAGGGCTTCCTTAAGAGAACTAAGGAGGGAGGCAGTTGTTGCCAAGAGAATGGATACTTTCACCTGGAGCAAGCCTGTGTCTCGTGTGTTGTGCAGGACAGGCTTGTCTCCCATCAGCCACATAATGGACTGAGTTCGCCCCTTTCTCTGCCTGTGCACACACAGATTCAGTTTTTCTGGGAACAGCAGCTGCTTTTCTGAAATTTCCATCCCAAGGCTTCCGTCCTCCACTGTGTCCTCTCAGAAACCTGTCATGGTTTTTCTGGATGGATGCCCACAGAATTTTAATCTAGTCACAGGAGGGGGAAAAGAAAAGGTGCTATGCATAACAAAAAGCAAAACCAGGGTTAGGGGTTGACTGTTACAGCATTTGGTTGTTTTGAGGACTTAGAATGAACATAAGGGGTTATTGGTAAACCCCACCATTCATGCTGCCAACCCAGAGCCAGGACTTGTAGCATGTTCCCTTAGTTAACATGTTTGTTCTCAAAGGTTGTAGAGGGGAGACCTATATAGTTCAGGGGACATCATAGACTCTTCCCTGGCTGGACCTCCAGGCTCTTGGCAAATGTCTGCTTGATTAACTCATGTTCTCCTCGAACACCCATTTACTTTCCTTCCCCAGGGAACATGTGCATTTCTGGTAAACAAAAAAGGTCCCTGCCCCCAGGAGGCTCAGAGGCTTTCCCAAACTTTCAGATGTGCACTTTGCCAGTTTTAACCCATGGAAAGATTTCCTGGGGACCCTGCTTTTGTTGTTACGTGCTGTCAAGTCAAACCAACTCATGGCGACCCCTCCTGGGGTTTCCCAGGCAGTATCACTACGGAAGTAGATTGCCCAACCTCCCTTCTTCCTTCCTAGGAGTGGCTGGTGGGTTTGAACCTCCAGCCTTCTGGTTAGCAGTCAAGTGCCTTAGGCACTATGCTACCAGAGCTCCTAGGGACCCTGCTAGCAATGCAAATTCTGGGCCCTGCGAGGCGCTCATTCAGGAGGTGTGAGACCTAATGAGTCCCTGGATGGTGCAGACTAATAAAGGGTGTGGCAGTTAACTGAAAGGTTGGTGGTTTGACCCCTGTCCTCCAGGTAGCTGGGTAGAAAGGCCGGGTGACCCGCTTCTGAAAAAACAGCCACTGGACATTCTGTGGCGCACAGTTGTATGGACAGACATGGGGGGCCTTGAGTAGGAGCCCGCTGAGGGTGGCTGAGACCCAAGAAACTGCACGTTCTGCAGCCCAGATCAGACTGATGGGCTGGGAGGTAGGCTCCTAAGAAATGCCCATGGCTAGAAGAAAACGAGAACGTGGTATTCCCATTTCTGTTTCATGTTTTAGGATTCTTGTAATTCATGTGACTGTCTCCTTAAAAAGTTCAGATAAAATTGAAGCCTCACTGTCAGGATTCTTGGCGCTAACATCCTGTGTCTCTCCTGCAAACCATCAGGAGGGACTCTGGGCCTCTGGGAACACTCCAAGCAGGGATGCACTTGGAACTAGAAGGGACTGATAAAGGGCTGCATGCACCGTTCTGATGTCTACTGAGCTCCGATGCGGCGCTTCCCGGGGCTAGTTCCGGAACTTCGGAGCCTCGGGTTCCCGGCTGTGTAAAACCGGCCTGTTAACTTCCTTCCCTGACCGACTGAGAAAAACGTAGTTAGTGCACCCGGTGAGTGCTGCACAGTTGCCACTTACAGCAAAGTCTGTAACTGTTACCCGTACAAGAGAGGGCAGGCGTCGCCCCGCCAATTTCAGATCGGCCTCTGGGTACCTTGTGGTGCCCCTTGAACCACCACTGGGGGCCACCGCCTGCCCGCCCGCCGGGCCACCACTGCTCTCCAGGCGCGTCCTTTTCAAGGGTGGCAGTTCGCTCCCTGTCGGTGACCAGCCTTGGCCTAAGAGAAAAGGGGGAAAGAGTTCAGACGTTTTTATTTTTATTTTTTTAAAAAAGACTTCCCTCTTGGCCTTTGACCCGGCGCCGCGGTGGTCAGCGTAGATTTGACGGGCCACAGGGGCCTTGGCGGAAAGGAAGCAGTCATCGGGTCAGATGCGGCCTGGGGACCTCAGTCACCCCAAGGTGGCCCTGTTGGGCCCAAGGCTGCGGTTGTGGCTCCACGCCGCCCGCGGATCTCCCGAGGGACCCGGCGCCGGGGGCTGGTGGCTCTGGGGCGGGCCCGGGCGTCCGAGGGGGCGCGCTGCGCACGCAGAGTCCGCCAGCATCCCCCGGTTGGCCGCCGAGCTCTGCATAGAAACAAAGGCGCCCATCCACCGCCAGGTCCCCATCGGACTGAGCCGTGGTCCAGGGACCCGCGCAGGCCACGCGGTTCCGGGAGCCAACGGCCAGCGGCGGCGCCTCCCGACGGCTCGACCCGCGTGGGCGCGCAGCCTCGAGGCCGCGGGCGCTGGAGCCGGGCGTGTGCGCGCTGCGGGCAGTGAGCCGCGAGGTGGCGGGATCGGGTCTGAGCCCCGTGCGCGTGTTCAGAGCCCGTGGCCGCAGGCGCACCCCACCCGCGGGGAGAGCCCAGACGCCCGGGCGCTGGCTGCCAGGCTCGTCCTCGCAGCGGAGGGCACCGGCGGGCGGCCTGTGTGCCTGTGGGACCGGGACCGCGCCGCACAGCAACTCAGCATCCCCCACCCCTAGAAAATCGAGTGAAAGCCCGAGGTCCGCCTTCCGGGGCCGGAGACGACCCCCGGAGCTGGGCCGAGGGGGGTGGGCTTGGAGGGGGGCGGGCGAAGGGCCGCCCCTGAGCGGCCCCCTCCCTCCGGGGCGGTTCGACAGGGTCCGGCGGGACAGAGGGGCGGGCGCCCTCGGGGCCGCCACACACACTCGCGCCCCTCCCTCGCCCCGCTCGCCGCGCCCCCCGCCCTAGCCCCTCCCCTCCCCCGCCCGCCTCCGCCCCCGCCCCCATTCTTGGAATTGTGTGGAAAAATTCTCAGCCGAACCTCCCACCTCTCCTCTCCTCCCCACTCCCTTTAAAGAACCCCCTTTCCTCCGGCCCCTGCACTCTTTGTGAATGAGGGCAGGGACGCGGCCCTTCCCCCGCCCAGGAGCCACGCCAGCCCGCCGCACTCGGAGGACTGTTTGTTAATAGTCCAATTAGATAATTGCCATCGTTCACTCCTTTTGCTCCGCATTTCCCATAAAGGAATGAATGGGGAGAGCGGCGTGGAGAGGGCTTCTGCCCCGGCAAGGTGACGAGAAGGGCTGGAGCATGCTCCTTGCACAAGGCCATGCGCTTGAATTGAATCATTGTAGCCTAATCAATGCTCTTATTGGATTACTGGCTGTTGCTTTTCTCAAAGATATTGTAGCAGAGACAATGAAATAGCTGGGGACAACTTTTTTTTTTTTTTTTTTGAAGCAGATCTCACAGTTGAGATTTTCTCGGCTCTCTCTCTCTCCCCCTCTCTCGCCTGCTGGACTCTGAGCACAAAGCTGCCCTTTGAATGGGCTGCTCAGGGCCGGCGGCTGGAGGTGCAGGCATGAAAAACTCCAACGCGAATTAAAGGAAGAGAAGTGGCAGTTTAAGATGGCTGTCAGCGTCGAGGTGTGTCGAGGAGTTCTTGGGGGCGCAGGCTTGGCTCTTTAGAGTGTGGGGGAGACACTTTTTGGGAAAACTCCCCCCGCCTCCCCCCCAGAGGCAACTGCTTTCTTTTGCCACGGGGTGTGGAAGGTGGTGGCTCGTTTTTTTTTCTCTCCTTCCCCCCCCCCACCCTCATTCAGCGCTAGCTGGCGAGTGTGGAGAAAACCCTTCTAGCCAGTATGTGAACAGGAGGGTCCGAGGCAAAGGGAAAGTTAACAGTGCCTGCTACTGGTGCTACCAATTCGGGATGCATCTTGTCAAAAGTTTTTCTGGAAGTGTGGGTCTTTGATTGTGTGTCTCCTGAAAGCAAGACCAATCATTTCCGTCCATTCACTGGCTAAACCCCTACTTGATTGGGGACAAGGACAGAAACCATCCATTACGATCTGATATATTATCCAAACAATTTAGTGTATTCATGAGGTAACCGAAACGTGGGGGCTGCGAAATTACCCGTAATCAATTGCAGCAGCGAGCGTGCGTCCCCCCGGGTGTCGGACCACTACAACTCGCCGCCTCAGTAACTGGCGGGCGCGGCAGCATTTCGGAGTTGCGCTGCTCGCTACCTGATCGCCAGGCTGGGGACACTGGACGTGCTCTGAGGACGCGGGCGCTGACGAGGCGGCCTCGCCGCCGTTCCACCCGGATCCTGGACTAGCTCGGCTGCCTGTCGGCGAGCGCGCCACCCGCCCGTCGCCGCCGACCCACCGGGGCCGCCACAGCCGCCCCGCGGGGACATTCATTCTGGCCGCCCGCCTCTCGCTGGGCCCGGCGTGGGGGCTGCATTGTAGGGGTTAGTCCCTACTTTGCTCCCCCCCCTTCTCTCTCTTTTTTTTTTCTTTCCTCTCCTGTTTTTTTTGCTTTTTGTTGTTCTTGCCTCTCCTATGTTCGGGAAACCAGACAAAATGGACGTTCGGTGCCACTCGGACGCCGAGGCTGCCCGGGTCTCCAAGAACGCGCACAAGGAGAGCCGGGAGAGCAAGGGCGCGGAGGGAAACCTCCCCGCCGCCTTCCTCAAGGAGCCGCAGGGCGCCTTCTCGGCTCCCGGCGCCGCGGAAGATTGTAACAAAAGTAAATCCAATGCCGCCGCGGACCCGGATTACTGCCGCCGGATCCTGGTCCGAGGTAGGATGGGCAGGGCTACGGGCGCGTTCCGGGGGAGGGCTCCGGGGCCCGGGCAGCGCG